TTTTTTTTCCTCGAAGCTCGCCGTCCTCGACTTCTTTCAAAGCGACCGCATTTTTGCGACGTCCAACTTTCTCCGTCCGCTATTTTGCCCCCTTTCCCGCAACACATTAGTCTTAACCCTCGTCGTGTTCTCTTACATTCGTGCAATGCATCTTTATCTTAAAGAAGATTACCGATACAACGCTTGTGAAAAATTCGATTGCGAGGAACATTCAAAATTATGCAGGCAAATAAAAATCGTGAAAACTCACGATTTTTATTGGAATTTTTTTCGAGGCCCGGGTTTCGAGGGTACGAACTCAACCGGTCACATTTCTCAGGTCCCAAATTCAAACTCATGGGGGCCAGAATCAATTTTTTCTAAGCCAAACCCGAATCCGTTGCGTTTCGCAACGCTCAGTCTCGGTACCCCTAGGCCGGAACCTACCCACGCCAAGGTCAATGCCGATTGGTTCGAGACAGGTCCCAACACTAGTTCGATAAGAGATGGACAATTGAAGTATAATTTAAACTAAAAAATAATGAACGAAAAAAACCTGCTGGTAATTGTTGCGAAGTAAGATGCAAAGTGTTCGCAGTACGTCGTTTTCTTGACTAACTGTTAGCGCATCAAATAATTCGAATGCGATTGATATTGTTGGTTGATTTACTTTACCTGGGTGTCGAACCAATACACCCGCGTTTGCATCAATCTTAATTTAATCGTTTTATGCTTTAATCGAGCACATCTCAATCAACAACTACCGTTTATATGCACAGAGTGTTCAAGACCACAAAAATCCAGTGGTGTATCTTCAAATTCGGCTGTACAATTCAACAAACAGAATGCATGGCTCAATGGATAAGATCAAGACCAAGCTCAGAGGTCCTTACGCAAAGTGACCGAAGAAGCATTTGAGATATTATAATTTTAGGCTTGAATATAGAGCAGCTAATACTTGTAAGAATAATAGATGCACACTTCTCCAAAAAATACACTTGTTTCTATCTTTTACATTTGTTTTTGCCCTCAGTCAGAACTGCAGTACCAGAGGATGATGTGGTTTTAGTCATTGCATATAACATGAAGATAGAAAAATTCAAAATTATGCACAAGAAAATTTTGCTTACAAGAGCGTGAAAAAAATTTGAAATAAGCATCGTTCGTTCATGTGGAAGAATTATGACTGTTCATGGTAAAAAATTCTCTTGAGATTGATTAGTTTCTTCCCTTTCAACTCATCAATACTTCCTTATCGCTTTCGCTTTTCATTTTCAAGAGCGATGCACTAAATAACTCGAATGAACGAAAATCTTTTCGATTAAATCGACATGGAAATGCATATTTCATTAAGCCATAATATTCAAAATTTCGATATCATTTCGAATGATTATTACTATTTGATCACAGTTCAGATGATACCTGCATGATCATATCGGTTTGTGACTCTTTGAAGGTTACCGAAAAACAACGTCCACCAATTGTTGGAAGATGACTGACAATTTGGACGTATTTCAAACGGAGCAATGTTTGCGCATCGTTTGTGCATAATGGTGATGATGCTTAAACTAGTAGAATTCTATTTTGATGTGAAAAAAATTTTTGAAGAAAATTATTTTGTTCCGCAACCTCGAACTTTTAGAGTCGTTCAGTGATGGAGTTAGATAACTCATATTAACTTCATTCATCCAAAATCGTTACCTTAAGCGATTGCAAAAACAACGATAACAAGAGTATAAGGAACAGTGTAATTCATTAGGCGTAGCACGTTTAAGAAGTGTATTACATGAAGTGATTTTATTTGTATCGTTTGTATCTCGTTTCAAATAGAACCTTAATTGCTTCTTCAAATCCCTTCGGCGCACGTTATCCAGCAATATTGACGGTAAAAAGTTTTCAAGACCATAAACTTGTCTGCAAATTTCTCATTTATTAAAACTTGGTTGCTTGGGAGTAGTGAAAGAAGATTGATGTCTCTAGATAATCTGAGACGTTTTTGTGCAAGCTGAAACTGAATAATGTACTATTACGAAGGCATTATGGCATTACTTCTG